AGTTCTGATCTTGACTTAAAGGTTATTTATTTATTTATATATTTGCATGTGTGGGGAGTGCATGTGAGTAGAGGTCAGAGAACAACTTGGGGGAGCTGGTTCTCTCCTTCCACAATGTGGTTGGATCGGGGATCAAATTCTGGTGGTCAGGCTTGCAGCAAGCGCCTTTATCCAGACATCTGGTTGACCCCTTACGCTGACCTTTAGCCCCATAAAGATATTGAAATTGCAGTGTGTTCATGTGAATAGTCCAAGATTATTATCCAATATCAAAACCATTACTCAGTTTTGTAACTCGCTATGTAGATGAGGCTGGTCTTGAACTGCTGACCCCTCTTCCCTACACACTCTTCTCAGAAGCTCAATTACATGCTATGAAAATGAGGTCAAGGGCATTGCTGTTGTGGCGTCTGCTGTCAGCAGCTCTACGCAGCATCAGGCTTGAGGCTAATCTTTGCTCCCCCACACAGCCCTACATCTGGACTCATATGCTCGTGGGTTCTCCTGCCTGTGCCTTTGGACACAGCCATCATTCTTCTCTGGGAAGAACAGAGGACAAAAGGCCACCTCAGCCAGCCTTAGTGGGAGTGGAAGTTTCAGCTCTGGGGTGGATCTGGGCCTGAATCTGCCAGGACACTTAATAGTTGTCATGGCCTCTTCTGATCTGTGTTAAGTCCTCATTAACACTAGAATGAGACGGTGCTTCTCAGGTTTGCTTGAATGCTTGCAGAAGGCAAGGCACAGGAAGGGTTTAGCTCATGAAAACCAGGTGTGGCGCATGCCTGCAATCCTGGTGCTCCTGAGTGACACAGGGAGATCGGAGAAGCTCAAGGCCACACTTAGCTCAGAGCCTGGTCAGCACGGGGTCAGACCCATCTCCCAGAGCTCTGAGCATGAGAGGGCCTGACAATATGTCACTCAGGTGTTCTGCTTTGCGCCTCCCCTTGAAAACAAATAAAAGATCCACTGCCCCAGGACCAAGTAGCCTCTGCCAATTCAGATCCTGTCAAGGTAGCTGTCCTCTGGTTCCGGCATATCTTAGAGGCTCTCTGCTGCAACATGGGGGAAATCAGGGAAAACTGACAGTATTCAAAGACTACCTTAAAAATTACATGTGCACATTAGTGTGCAATGTGCCACAGCACACTTGAATTCAGAGAATAATTTGTACGAGTTAGGTCTCTCCTACCCTGTGGGTCCTGGGTATCAAATTCTAATCATCAGGATTGGCTGCAAGTGTCCTTATCCACTGAGTCATCCTGATCTTACTAGCCCCCAAGGCTCCTTTTAGCAGCTTCTTGGCCTAAAGCACTGTAAAGCCTACTTCACAGAGGTGTGAGGAGCAGGAACTTTTCTGTTTGACTGCTGATTTTGGCAGCTTTGGCCTCTGAGCTCATGGCTTGACCATGCATGTAATCCCTGGGCTATCATCCTTCCTCCCTTCGTATGGATGAAAAAACGGTCCACAGACGGGGAGTCACTTCCTCATGTCTCACTGTAAGCTGTTCCAAGATGCAGAAAGCTGCTGTCCTGGAAGCTCTCATGTCCTTCTGTCTGTCCTTCTCCAGATGACTGATCCCCATGGGAGCAGAGCGATGACAATATTTCCACTCCCTAATACCTTTGAAGCTTAAGACCCAGGCAGGCTCTTCCAGGCTGAGCTTACCTCATGTGCTTTCTTTGATGTGTACATAGCATAGATGTTCCAAAAGCCAGCTGCTTGAAACTCCTTTCCCTGAGCTCAGGCATTGTGGTCCCAGAGAGCGGGGATGCAGAGCAGTTGGACCAACTCACACATAGCAGAGGCAGAGACAGGAAGCAAATCCTAAGAGCTGCATCTTTGGGTTCTTAGGATGAATACAAAGCCAGAGTGATTAAAAAGGGACCTGGGCTTGGGGATGAGACTCTGTGGGTAGAGTGCTTGCCTAGCGCGCATAAATTCACCAATACTACAGTAATCTCAGCATTCCAGGAGGCAGGAAGATCAGAAGTTCAAGGTCATCCACAACTACAGTTTGGTGTCAGCCTGGACTACCTGAGAACCTGCCTAAAAATTTAATAAAAACGTAAGAGAACTGGAAAAAATATTCTCAGGTGGTCCAGGCTGGCCTCAAACTTGCTATGCAGCAGATGTCCCTGAAGTCTTGGCCCTCCTGCATCTACCTCCTGAGAGCTGGGATTACAGATGTGGCCCACTTTGTTTGATAAACTACTGAATGGCTGTAGATAACCAACTTGGAAAATACTTAGGAACTGGAGTGGGTGGCTCTATCTGCTGCCAATGTGATGGCAAGTACAGCTACTGCCTGGCTGCCCAGCGGGAACCAGCTGTTCCCAAAGCCGCAGCCTTAGCCCCCGAGGCGGTTATCCTTGTTTCTGCTGGGCAGATATATCTGGCTGGTTCAGACCAGGTCTCAGGAAGGCAAACGGCTTTCCTGATGGAGTTGACTACTTTCCTCACTGGTTCCTACCGACAGAAGGAAGCAAGGGATTATTGTGGCTCACAGTCAGAGGGCACAGTCCACTGCGGTGGGGAAGGCATGCAGCAGGAGTGGCATGAGGCAGCTGGTCAAGGCATCTGCTGTCAGGGGCCGGAGATGTGAACCAGCTGCTGCATCGCAGGGCGGCAGTCTACAGAACAGGCTGTCAAATGGGCCTTTCCTCTTTAGTTATTAGTCTTTTCTGGAAACATCCTAAGGAATGGTCCTAAATCCCACCAAGCTGACTGTCATTATTAGCCACCACAGGTGAGCTCAGCAGTTCTTCAGGACTTGAACAGTGTGGTTCCCAAACAGGAAGTCTAGATGCTGCATACAAACTCAAAACCAAAAACCTTCCTTCTCATCACAGGTATGGATGCTGAATCAAGGACTTCCTTCCAAAAGGCGCAGGGCCAAGGAAAATGTTTTATTTCCTGTGTGGGGACCAGCCACAGGCTGAATGGGGCACAACTGAGCAATCCCAGGCTGCCTATAGCTGCTTCTTCCCACACAAGGCTGTCAAACAAAGGTACAGCTGCTTCCCTCTGGCAAGCTAGCCTCTGCCTCCTGAGGATAATTATTTGTGGATGACTACACATATTAACACCATTTCCTGTGCTGGTCTTTCAACTGGCCAAGACCACAGCCGAGTGCCAGGTACTCACGGCAATGGTGAGCACACAGGAGGCCGAGGTGTAGATGCAGGTGTGAGGCAGGAAGGCAGAGGTGAGATGCAGATGTGAGGCCAGCCCAGTCTATATAGCAAGCAGCAGGCAGAGCTATACAATAAGGCTGTCAAAAAAAGAATGGTCAGGGAAGACAAGGTTCATCTACAGACTTACACATGGGGACTCAAGACTTTACAAACCCAACTAGACGAGAAGCACTCAAACAGGTTCCCTGCCCCACCAGTGGTCAGCTAAACAACCCCCCCAGAGGTGAGGAAGGCAATCTCAGTGTCTTGTCTGCAAGGAATGCAAGAAGGCAACTACTCAAACACACACATAAACAAAAATGTAAGAAAACCACATTAAGACATAATTATTAAATGCCAGGTGTTAGAAACTTAAGAAGCTAAGTAGCCAGAATTTAGTGGCATCTGGCAACTCGAATTTCAAAGAACAACATAATACAGCTTTGTAGTTAAAGGCCACACAGAACACTCTAGAGGGCAAGGACTCAGATCTGACTGAACCACTGTTTAATTTAACCTGTTCACTTTCCGCTGTCATTGCAACAGACTTTGTTACGGGGCTCTCGGGAAGTCAGCTCTGACCTAACGCCAAGCACCGTCCAGGATGATGTTTCAGAGTGCTGGTGGCTTGGGTTCATCCCCTGCACCCTGAGCTGGAGGAGGTTCACCCCAAGACGTGCTGTCGAGAAGCTAAATGAGCATTACCATTCTGTTTTCTTACTTTCATGTGTATGTGTCTAACAGGTCTGAGGCTGACAATCACTCCACTTTCACACCCAGACTCATTGATAAAGCCACTTGTAATCACAGGTGGGCAGCTATGTCTACCCGGACCTGTGTCCCAGGAATCCTAACTAGTGTGGCAAGCGCTTTACCTTTGTTGCTCTTAATACTTGGGGCTACACTTGGGCCCCAAATACCTATGTGTAATCCCCCATCAGCTGGAATAGACTTTCAAAACGGGCTACATAACAGTCATCTCTGGTGGACTCCCAAACAGCTGACCTCAGTCATCCAAGGATTCACCTGTCTTCACTTTCTATTTTGCTATAGAAATGCTGGAACTGTTCAGGTCCTACTATGACTGTATTATAAAGTTGTTTCTGGGGATTTGAACTCAGATTATTCATCTCCACAGCCCAACTATGTGTCGGGGGGGGGGGGGCCGCAACAGCAACCAAAACAAAAGCCAACCAATAAACTCCCACTGTTAAAAAGTCAGGAATGCTGGTGGTTATTAAAGCACACGCCTTTAATTCCAGTACTCTGGAGGCAGAGATAAGCAGATTTCTGAGAGTTCGAGGCCCCAAGACAGGCTCCAAAGTTACGGAGAAGCCCTGTCTCGAAAAACAAAAAACCAGGAATATACAACAGAAGCGATTACCATGTCCATGTTCCTATGTTCACATGTAGAGGCCAGAAGTTACCTATAGCTTCCTCAGTTGCTTTCCACCTTCGCTGCTGAGACAGGGTCTCTCTCTGAACATGGAATGGTATTTGGCTAGACCAGCTGGCCAGGATGCTCCAGGACCTGCCTGTCTCTGGCTCCAAAGCATTCGAGTTACATGCGCTGCTGCGCTCAGCATTTTTTGTGGATGCCGAACTCAGGATCTGTGCAGCAGCACTTGACTACCCACCGAGTCATCTCAGCTGCAGTGGTACCTCTAAAGATGTGCACTAATTACTCCCATCAACCTCTGCCCTTACACACGCGTGGCATTGTCAGGGGCTCCAGGTTATCGCTAAGATCCAAGAGATAAAAATCCAGCCTATTTTGTCCATCACTGCGCCCCTCCTGATGCCAAAAAGGAAAAGTACAAAAGACGTTAAAACAATGACACTTTTTTTTATGGGAGTATTTAAAAATAAAAATTATCATTCATAGTAAAGACAAAAAGATCCTAAAGGTGATTTTAAAAAGTTCCTTCTTAAAGAGAAAGGGGAAATTAGGGCACAGTCCAGGTGGACAGCCATTCCCGTCAGTGAGAAAACTGCCTGCGGTCCACTGTCTTCTTGCTGATGTGTTTAAAGATCTTGGACTTCTCCACTTTCTTTGTTTTCTGGTAGCCAAATCCACCGCCACCTCCTCTCTTTTTAAGCTTGCCATCATTGCTGTTCACGTCTACAGGTGAATGTTAAGGAGGCAAAGCAACAAAGAGGACTCCAAGCTGCATCAGAGAAAACCTTGACACGGCCAGCACTACCCCGTGCCACTCTCTGCTTGACAAATGGAGACACGGGACCTGAGGTTGGACAATAAACATGCAGGAGACCAGGAATGACTTGTATACAAAAATGAACAGGAATGACTTTAACCAATCTGTCCTGGATTTCCCTCACGAGTTACTGCAACATAATAAAAAGCAGTCTTCCTTGTAATGAATAGCCAATACACACAAACACGCACACACACACACACAGAGATTGCAATGGAACCACCTGGGAGGTTCCTTTGCTCTTTACCTGGAGCAAGGCGTAGCTGTTTTCTGTGGCGAGCCTTGTAGATAATAAATAGCCCTCTGATGGCTATGCGAGGCCAGGAACCCTGAAAGCTCTTCCCCACTCTCTCTAGTTGCTTCCCACCTCTGCTTCAACACTGAAGACACAACTACCCACCAGACTCTCAAGGACAGTCGTACCCCCCCGCCCTGTTCAATATCATTCTGTGTATGGATGTAATACGCCACCACCTTTGGAGATGTTTGATTCTCCCCTTCCACCATGGGTCGTGGGGTCAAACTTGGGTTGCCAGGCTTGCTGGGAAAATGCCTATATCCACTGAGCCTTCCTTAGTTCTTCAGAGATTTAAATCCTGAGCTACCTTAGCCTGGTATTTCCCACCCCAGTGATAAGTCCTTGCCGACCCCTTCTGTGCTACTACAGACAGACACAGGCTAGGATGAACATCAGAGCCTTTGGCGGGCAGCCGTTCCAACTCACTGCTAAGACCCCACACCCTGCTAAGGCCCGTAATTGCAACAGTGTAATAAATAAGGAAGAAAGGATACTCAGATCAACGAAGGGAGGAACCTTAAAGCCAAAGGACAGAGCCACCTGAGGCAAGTTTAAGTTGTTCACATCAAAGATCTGCTTGAGAGAGTGGGAGTCGTAGGCTCGTATGTAGGACTTGTATGCTTCCTGCGCGGACTTATGGAGAAAATAGTTCTTTTCGATCAGCTTTTCCAGCTACAAGCAAGAAAAAGGGCAGATTTCAACCATTAGAACAATCATCCTACAAAACCACTCATCTTCGTACACTTGATCTGGCTTTGAACTCTAGGGAAACCAGGTAGTAAAGGAACCTGAAGACCAGCATCATCCGCAAGTGGGAGGGAGTTTGGGGACTGACTGTGAAACTCCATAAGGCAGCACTGGGACGGGCGACCTCTCCCCTCAGAAGACAACGACACAAAGAGCATACCTGAGACTGAATATCAGAAACTTTAGACCAGGAAAAGTCGAACTGATTCAGTGGAACCTACAGAAACAAAAGTTCAAGTGTTATAAGTGGGCACTCAGTTATGTGTCCCATCAGAAGCGACAGCAAGGGGCAGCCCTGGAGATGCCCAGGCTCGAGGAACCCCAGGACAGGGACTGTGATCTGCTGCTTGCTGCCTCTTGTCATTAGGTGTCCCTCTCTGGCCTGCTGAGTTTACACGAATACACTGTGCGAGCCTGAATTTCTTCCTCTTCAAAAGCTGAGAGGAGAAAATCAGCAGAGGCAAGGGCAGGGGCCGCTAAAGTTCTACCCCTAAGATTTCCAGGACTGTAACATTCAGGGTGATAAATGACTACTTTCCCCCTTTTTCCTAATAGGGTTTTACTATGTAGTCCTGGCTGGTCTTGAACTTGCTGAGACCCTCCTGCCTCTGCTTCTTGACTGCTGAGATTACAGGTGTGTAATCCATACCAGGGATAACTACTTTTTTCCCCTCTATACCAGGAGAGGGTCCTCAATACCGCTCTGCCTTGTGCCTGATGCTTATGGTGACTCTAGCTCCCCAAGGATTCATCATTATTACCTCTTACTTAACTAAGAAAGCACAGAAAACAGGTCTGTAAGGACCTCCTGCCCTCCCCTCAGAGATCTTGCTTGCAGGTAAGTAATGGAGCATTTGGGTGCTGGGAGCACAGCGGGTTGGAGATAGACAACTCACTGAAATCAGTGTCCTGTGGAGATCCAGAAAGAACAGCGAGGAGAGTGTAAAGGCCTCAGGGCAATTTCAGAAACTGTGCCTTATTGTAGAAAGGGGAAATGCACATGGTAAGTCTGTGCTAGGAGGGTGTCAGGGTGTCAGTGTCAGGGACAAGCTGGCCTGCCATGTACCCACTAGGCCTATCAAGAAGAAGGCCAATGCAGTCTGGATGCATTCTGTTCTGGCAGGCTGAGATAAGAGCAAACACAAGTGAGCTGGGGATTGAGCAGATGGTGACTGGAATATATGCAAAGCATTTTCCCAAAAGGGCAGAGAGGAGCAGAGCCAGGGCAGTGTCAGCCCCGGAGGGAGCAGCAGGAGGCTGAGTTGAGGGCTGAAGCAGGAGCTGCACAGGGAGACTTGAGAAGGTAAAGCACTGGCAGCCTGGGGAAAGAGTCAAGGGAGGGAGGCTGGTATACAAGAGTTCAGACCTGCTGCTCTTCTGAGATCTGCACAGCAGACTGCAGGGATGCTAGGGGAGCGGGCAGAGTTGACCAGGGCTGCAGAGAACTGGAAAGGAGAGCTCCAACAGTGCTGGGCACTGAACCCGTTCCTCTTGTCAATGCCTCCTGTGCCAGGGGCACATGCCATCTCACCTAGTGACTCTCTGTACCTGTTGTGACAGCACCACCTCAACTTCAGTCAACACCTACTCTGCCATCTACAGAGATGGCACCTGAGGAGAGTCCTCACAGTGGGAGTTTCCTCCCAACTCAGGGTTTTCTAAACAAAAACACCTTTACCTTGGATTGCTTCAAGTAACGAAGGAAACCCAACTCTTCAGGGCGCAGGATGAGCAGGGCATGCCCTCTTCCATTCAGGCCCCGAGCCGTTCTACCCACACGATGAATGTACTCCTGTAGTGAGGCAGAAAAGCTGGGTTATGAGTCCACATTCAGCATTTAGACTCCATCCTGTGATCAACGGAAGCATGCCACCACACCTGCACAAGATGTACCATTAACAGGGCAGGGCCAACTTCACCCTCACCACATCTGACACACGCTGGGCCAGCATTCCCTCTGCAGATACCACCCCTTAGCTGGGACAGACACAAACACAAGATAAGCTGCACACATCTGCCATATTAACACCGTGTAAAGGAAGCCCTACGAGCTAGACACTACCTAGTAAGGTTAACTATAAGGTGTAGTTCATCTTCAGAGTAGCTTTCTATAAAAATTATATTATTATTGCTTCTTATAAGTACTCCTTTCATGTGTGGTGTATAAATGTATGTGTAGAAACCAGAGGTGTAGACCAAGATACTGTTGCTTTCCACCTTCTTGTTTTGAGGGATTATCTCTCAACCGGGAGCTTGCTGTTTCAGTTTGGTTGCCGCACAAGCTCCCAGAACCCATTTGTCTCCATCCTCCTCCTTCCTCCTGCTGGGGTTACAGATGTACTCTACCCCGCCTGGTCTTTACATGGGTACCCATTCTACTACAGACATTACTGACCTTTATCTACTTCCTCACACAACTGCTATTTCATTCTGAAACCAGCTGGACACATAAGTCCAAGGATCTTTTGTTCCTAACTTAAAAGTCACAGATACCCCTTAAACCTTTTTGCACATATACCCCTAAGGTCCCTGACACTCATTAACACCAGTAATATCCTACAGCTGACCAAACAGCTGCTCTGTACAGGAAAGCGTCATGCCTCTCTGGGCAGCAAGTGCACTCTTCCACATAGACCTATTCTGAAGATACAAGTTACCTTGGGGTCATCAGGAGGGTCATACTGAACAATCCAGTCGACTTCAGGGATGTCCAGCCCTCTGGCTGCCACATCTGTGCACAGCAGTATCCCTGAATCTGCGTTGCAGAATTGGAAGAACGTGGTTGTTCGCTTATTTTGCTTTTGCCTTCCCTAGATTCAAAAACAACAAGAGCACAAAACCCATTCAAGTTGTTTGTGAGAGTTCAATGTAGAACCAGCCAACTATGGAGCTGCGACCACACTTTAGCACAAGCTTACTCGGGCATAGGCCCTATATCTCCAACTGTACTCCAAGTCTGTGAAAGGGAGGGTGTCTCTTTACTTCCTTTTAAGTACTTTCTTTTTCAGATTTAATTAGCCTGCACTTACCTGTGTTTAGTCATAACCTTCTTTGCCAACTATCATACTCCAATCACACTGACCCATCACCCTCCTCCATCCCCTCCCACTCCTTCAGATTCTTTCCTCCTCCTAACTAATGCCCTTCTCCTTTCAAGCCGGTGTGATCCAGTGAGCTTACAAGAGCACGGGAGAGGGTTACTTGCAAGAAAATGGGCACCCAACCAGTGCTACTCCACTGAAGAAATGTCACTCTAACCACCATTAGCTTCCTAGAGAGCCCCAGGGAGGGGTGGAGCCTTGTAAGGCCCTCCCACCGTCCAGTCTTCTTCAAGTAATAGCAGCTGCTTTCAGACCGTTGTCTCCTCCCTACCTGATCACCCACTGGAAAATGAACCACTCCTCCCTCCCAAAGCGCACAGAACGTCATACCCAGGCTTATCCCATTTCTCAACAAGCTCCCTGCCACCACTTACATGGATGGCCAAGACAGGCAAGTCGATGTAGTTCAGTAGCTCGTAGTGGTACTTCACAGACATACACGACGAAAAGAAGACCATCACTTTCTTCTTCCGGTTCTTCTTAAGGAATGTGAAGAGCAGAAGGAACCTCTTCTCAGAGGGACACACAACATATCCCTGAATCGGTGCAGTGAACAGATTACTCACAAAGGCATTTTAGCTTCATTAAGTAATAAAATGTGTCTGAACACAGCAATATACTGCCAGACCTTTCTGCCACATTTAAGGACGGCACCAACTCCAGTTATACAGAACTGGAACTATTTACTTATCAAGGCTTTACCTTGGAGTTACAAAGACAGCTCAGCAGGTAAAGGGCTGAGGACTGACAGCCACCCATTGCTGGGTAATTGTGTGATTCCAATGCTCAGGAGATGGGATTAGTGGGTCAAGCAGGCTAGCTAGATTAGCTAAGTCTGCAAGCCGAGGGGTCAAATTAGACTCCCCTCAATACTTAAATGGTGGACACCTGACATCACAGGTACTCACTCTCAAACACATACACTTTCTCAAGACTAAACTTGTCTCCATTAACTCAGTTAGACCCGGCACCTCTTTTCTTCTTGCACAGCGATGCACTTGCTCCTCCAAGTTAGCTTCCTCTCTATCACCCAACTTCCCTGGCACCTTATAGACAGCGTTTTTTTTTTTTTTAAAAATTTATTGTTTTTATTGAGCTATACACATTTTCCCATGCAAAGTATTAAAAATAAGCTCTACCTGCATTGCAATCAGCAGCAACTGATGCTGCTTCTCACTTACAGAAGCATCAACAGAACAGATGCTGGCCTTCCACTGACTTCACTCACAGACACCACACCCATGTCTGTTGCTCTGACTTATGGTCATCAATCCACTTGTTCTGTTCATCACTCTGAACAAGCACAAGGGCACACCAAGACCCTGTAGGACTTTACTTACTTACTCTGTACCAAGTATAAGCTGTTTATAAACAGTACCTGTTCAAGTCCATCCACTGTGGCAACCTCTTTATCGTCATCAACACCCACATACAATGGCTCCTTTTTCAGAGAAATTCTTGCCAAGTCTTCAACTTTTCGAGTTTGTGTGGCAGAAAAGAGCATTGTTTGCCTGCGTACTGAAACAACACAAAAACAACCTAAACCTTCCAAAGAATCTCATAATCACTTCATGTTACACTTCAAGCAGAAACTCCTGAAAGAGGGGATATGTTATAAAGATGGGTATAGATTCCCCAGATATCATCTACAAACATGGTAACTTGGGTGAAATGAACAAATCCAATCCATCCTAAGCAAATTAAACTAAAGGATGGGTAGTTAAGGCTTCCCAGCCACCACCAATACCTCCATGAAGTTATTCATGAGACAAGGAGCTATATAACCCAACTTGTAGTCAAAGCTGACGGAAACGCCAACAGCTGCGAACAGTGCACACATCTGTCAGCAGCTGAATGAGCAGCAGACTTTGAACTCACAAAGCAGCATCACCAAGCATCTATAAGATGCTGCACGGTAAAAGAGGAGCACACACTGCCGCTCACTTTACCTTCAGGATTTAGAAAATGTGGGCTCCTGTATAGGGACCGAGAAAGCTGGGCAACAGCAGAAAGACAACTTATTTGTATGGGTGGGGCTGGGGGACTACAAGTGGGCGTGAACTTTTGAGGTGGAGGACAGGCCCATCATGGTGCTTGCAGTTATGATTCTCCAGGGCTACACACGTTAGAGTATCAAAAATTACAGATTTTAATTTAAATGGTTTACTTAGTATTTTTATTAAAACTATTGAACTAGCATTTTTGCTTATGAAATGGTAATGTGCTGTAAGAAGATACATTTCAAATTACTTTTGAAGATGACAGCACAAGTTGCTCACGAGCCACAGGAAAATTCTGGTTATTAAAACAGTATTTTCCCTACAAGATCTCCAACCACAGACCTCTGACTACTCTGTGAGCCCCATGCTGATGCCACCTACTTACCTGGCAAAAGTTTAATAATTTGCTTTAATTCTTCTTCAAATCCAACATCCAAGATACGATCAGCCTCATCAATAACGAGACACTGGAGGTTCTTGTACATGAACCCCGGAGTATTCTGCATGTGGTCTAGAAGCCGGCCAGGGGTGGCCACAACAATGTTGATGCCATTGGTGAGCTTCTGCGCTTCGGCAGACCTGTTACTGCCACCCATGATCAGCCCGTACGTGTGAACATGGTGTGTCATCAGCTCCTTAAGAACACCGAAGGTCTGCATGGCCAGTTCTCTGGTCGGAGAGAGGATCAGGACGCCCGTTCCTGGAAGGCAAAGGTGACAGAAGGCCGTCTCCACAGTCCGCACAAGGTTCACCTCCTACTAATTACAGCACAGACACACACTCACCATTCCTGGGCATGAACTTCAACTTCACAATGAGCTCGATCACAGGGATGAGGAAAGCCAGTGTTTTGCCACTGCCGGTTTTAGCAGCTGCTAGAAGATCCCTTAATATTGCAGAAGAGAAGGACGTTCATTCAATTCATGCTGATGCATACTGAACACCCACCATGAGCTATGAGCAGGTTCTAGGCACTGTGTGAGGATTCCAAAACACAGTTCCCTGCCTGGCTATCTCGGCCTTTAACATAAGCCGGGCATGAATACAGAGAGAACAATCAGGGGAACACACGTTTCCTTTACCCCCACGGTCTTAAGAACAGACAGGAACGCCCCAGGATCAATGTCAACCATACCTGCCTTCCAGAAGTGGCCTGATACTTTTATGTTGGATCTCAGTCATGCGCTTGAAGCCCATTTCTTCTATAGCCTTCAGAGTGTTTTCATTGACGAGGTTAGACAAGGAAGCAAACGAAGTGTCCTCAAAGGCCCCTATATGGAAGGTTGTTCACTGTCAGCAAGCTGGTCTGTTCAAAGTGAGTGCTGGCACAGCTGCCTAAAACCATGCTGATTCTTAGAAGAGCATCTCACAGTACAAGGAGACTAAGGCTCAATCACTGCTAACAGATAATAATGAGAAAATAGCCCACAGAGAAATCAAAATATAAACATTGGGGCTGGAGAGATGGCTCAGTGCTTAAGAGCACTTGCTGCTATTGCACAAGACCTGGGTGAGGCTCAGTGCCCACATGGTGGCTCTTAACCATCCAGAATTCCAATCCCAGGGGCAAAATGACTTTTAACCTCCACAGGCACCAGGCATACACAGTGCACATACATACATGCTGGTAAAGTACATAGACATTAAAAAAGCATAAAAATTAAGCATAATAAAAACCGAAGCCTAAAGCCAACCAAAAAAGTAGACAACCTGATTCCAACAGTCCTGAGAAAGGAGAGCATCCCATGGCTCTGTAGTAGTTAGGGTACCAGAGCATTCCCAGTGCCTGGACACTCAGCCATGCCCTGACTCAGCTGTGGCTTCTCGGCTTGGCAGTAATGATGGTCAACTCTCAGGCTCTCTTCCTTCCAGTTGTGGAAAAACACACCCATAAGCAAATCTTTTTTTCTTTTTTTGGTTTTTCAAGACAGAGTTTCTCTGTAGTTTTGGAGCCTGTCTTGGAACTAGCTCTTGTAGACCAGGGTGGCCTCAAATTCAGAGATCCACCTGCCTCTGCCTCCCAAGTGCTGGGATTAAAGGCGTGTGCCACCACCGCCCAGCCCTAAATCTTTATTTGCATTTTCAGTATGGCATCTGATAAAGCAATAGGTTTATACTGCTTTTATAAAATAGGCTTTGTTTCATGATTTTGCCCAACTAGAGACCAAATAAGAGTTCTGAGCATAAGACTCCTAGCACTGGGGAATACAGAGCCTGAACCAGTCATCTCCTGTAACCAGGCAAGGTTTCCAGTGTAGGGAAGGTGACAATCCCAATCCAGCAACAAAACCTTGACCTACAATTTGTCCTGCTTGTAAGATGAGTCAAGGTAATAAAGGGGGTCGGAGAATTCTCCTTTGGTGTGAGGGGAATTCTGGACTTCGTGTATGCTGGGCAAGTGGCTGTCCTATGTATCTTAACGCTGCAAGGCACCTGACCTCCGTACTCGAGATGTCAGTAGACTGTCCCAATCAGATGCTTAGAGTGTAAGACTTTTGTTGCTAACCTGGACATTAAGAGTTAGTTGCTTGACTTGGGGTGAAAAATTGTCCAGACTGAGAACCACCTCTAAAACTTGTCTGTTTTTCCTCTTTTCTCTGTCAGCTGTGCTCAGTACTATACCATCAGCTCAATTCAGCAATCTTGATTAAGTATTAAAATGGCCCAACCTCAGTATTTTAACAAAAAAATAAAGCAATCCAACAAACCCCCAAGTCAAATCTGGTTGGAACAATAAATTCTAATCTAAATTCTTGAACTTGAAGGAGCCCAGAAGCTATTGGGAACACAGAGAAAGAAAAAGATGGAAAAAGTGCCTTGGTATCAAAAGGAGAAGATAAAGGAAAACAGCACAGAGATATAAAAATCATTGCTGGCTGACAATTATTATTTTCCACTGGTAATTAAAAGTCAAGATGGAATGTTCTATCATACAACTGAGAAGAGTGACTGTTCCAAGCCATCACCTGTCAGCCCTAGGGGCAGGCTGGGCACTTCCTTGTCATCTGCCTTCTCCACAGCATCTTCTGCTTCCTCAAGAGCCACAGTGCTTTCTTCAGTTTTTGCTTTTTTGGTGTCTTTGTTTAAAAAGCAAAAAAAACCCAAAAAAAACAAAAACCAACAAATTAACAAGTGAGAACAAAAGATCTGTAAAGAAATACTTTTCAAAGTTTAACATTCAACATTTATTTGCTAGAAACCTTGTTTAATATTTAAAATTTTGAGGTATAAATGATTTACAAGTTTTAAAGTTACTTAAAATATATTACATTATTCTTAAAGAGTAAAATTAGGACAGCCTCACACTTCTTGAGGAAAGCAGCACATGTGCAATTAAAGCAATTTTAACTTAAATTCCTACAGACAGCAGCATTTTCTCCCCTTGCCTTTACATTCTGTAAGTCACTTCTGCTTTGAAGACGAACACTAAGAGTGTAGGGCTCTCCCTGTTCCCACACAGGGAGAGGGCAATGGCTCCTTAGCTGGTGATAGAAACGGGGTCGCTGTAAGTGGTGAAGGAGGAGAGGCAGAGCCTTCTAGCTTCTCACTTACGTATTCAACTTGCGCAGGACAGCTCCCACCTACTGTCCAGAACATTCTACTCGCGTCTCTTCAGCACTGCACACTGGGCTCCAATGAGCAGGGAGGGGTTGCTGACCTGGCTCACCCCACCTCAATTTATTCACATCTCCACAGGAGGCTCCTCTCTTCACCAGAATTTACTATCCCCTTCCTGCCTCCTGCTCTTTAAACCCTGCCTCGTACTTTCTGCTCACTTGGAAACCAGCACTTTATTTATTCACAACTTTACTTCATGTTATTTTACATATTCTGCAAAGAAGCCTCCATACTGGGGAGAGGGGTTATAGAATATACATGGGCAAAAGACAAGAGGTACCTTATAAAATTAGCAAGTACCTTCAGACAAAAAAGCTCATGGAGATACTGTCCATCACCAGTCAAGATTCACACACTGTCAATTAAACTTCTGAAACTCTGAAATATGTGAAATGCAAACACTATGCCATGGTATACTCAGTTTATTTAAAAAGCCCCACTAACTGCTCACCGAACTCCTTAGTAGAGTATTAAAAACTAAAGAAATTATTACCAAATGCCAGTTTTTTCCAAGGTTAATGAACTTGATTAAAAACATGACACAAGTTTGGGAAAAAACTAAAACCCACCTCGTTCCTCCACCAACAACATGTCTTTCAGCTGCCAGGCTGGTCTCTCATATGCAGGTGCACACAGGGGATGCTGCACACACAGTGATGGAAGGACGCCAGCCACAGCTGAAAAATCACCGGAACAGCTGATAGTCAAAGAAAACAAACCTACCAGGCTCCGTGTCATTCGCCATTTTCCTCTTTTTCTTCTTCTTTTTCTTTTTTGATTCTGAATCAGGAGATGGTGTTGCTGCTTTTTCTCCATTGGTTAAAGTGGTAGGTTTCTGGGGTAACCTTTCAACTTTCGAGTTTTCCGCTGTCTCTTCAGGCATGCCTCCACTTTGTGCTTCTGCTGAGCCCACCTTCACAGCATGCTTTACGGCTTTCTTAACTTTTCTGACCTTTACCTCTTCTTTGGGCACATCTTCATTGGAAGGTTGTGATAGGCTCGTGTTTGATGCTTCTGTTTAAAAACACAGAAGGTACATTGTAACACGGAATGCTAAGCTTACTAAACAACACTGACCTCCCAGAGAGAAATGGCAAGGTCTCTGGAATTCCAATCATGTAGTTTCCCTTCTGTGCGCACCTGTTGGCGCTCTATTATAGAAAAGGCAGATTTTCTTTAGGATAAAAAATGTCGGAAAAGCTATTGCTTAATTTTTTACTTCAAAAGACCTTATCTCATCTCGGCACTGTGGTGCACGTCTTTAATTCCAGCAGAAGCAGAGGCAGGTGGAGTTCTGTGCAGTTGAGGCCAGCTTGGTCTACAAAGCAAGTTCCAGGAGGCACAGAGAAATCGTGAAAAAGAACAAGAAAAAAAGACCTTATCTGTTTAAGGCTATACGGGAAGTCTGTGACAGGAAAATGCCAACAATGTCACATAATTAAATCAATGGACTTAGAAGACAGCCATGAAAAGACATATTTCCAACATTAAGTATTTGATAAGCATAACCAATGACATTCACTTCGTATTCCCACAACTACCACAACTATTGATTATATAAGTTCACATCATTCAAACCCAATTTTCCTGGACTTCGGTGAACTAAAAATTCAGTTAATAAAAACCACTTATTTACTCAATTAAAGCCCCAAACTATCTTTACAAAGCTTCCTTGTTGATAGGAGAACGAAAGCGATACGACCTTTACATTACCTACACCAAGCAGCTACTAATTAGTATTAATTATTCTACAGAAACTAAATGAAGGAGCTTCCTTTAAATCCATCGCCCCCTCTAGGATTTCTTTCAGTTACTATCTGTTGAATATTATGTGGGACGTGACAATATGTCCCAGCACTTCCCAGAGGATTTATTCAGCGACTCTCAGCCTGTGCGTCGCGACACTCGCAAGGTCGCATATTTACATTACGATTTAAAACAGGAGCAATTAAATAATTTTATGGGTGGGGGTCATCACAACATGAGGAACTGTATTAAAGGGTTGCAACATCAGGAAGGTTGGGGACCACTGATTTATATCTTATAGGCAACCTGAAATGTGACATTTGTGTAAACTTTTCATTTAAGGTGCGGTGCCAAAAACAGGACGTTAAGGGATTTACAAACTAAGTTTGGGAGGGCTCTGCGTTTACCATGTGATGAGGATCATTGCAAGAACGAGGAGAACGGACTTGGACAAACGGTAGAGGAAAGCAAAGCAGTATCATTGTCGGGAAAACCAAAAAAAAAAATTCCTAAGCTCAGGCGGGAGATGAGATCCAGCAACTAAATAAAAGTCAGGAAATGGATAGCACCTAGATCTAAAGTTCTATATGGGTTCTTAAGATGATGGGGAAGTCTAAAACGAAGGGAAATAGGTGGGTTTTGCTGGATGCTCAGTCAGAAGCCTGGGAAGCAAACCCGAGGCCTCCCGCTGCGACCCTGAACCGAGAAACCCACGCGGGCAAAGGCTGGGACTAGCGAAAAGTCCACTGGATGCTGAGACCCAGGCGGCCTGCTCTGGCCGCCGGAAGCTACCCGGCGCACGGCGGAGTTTCGGGGTTCCCCACATCGCTCGCCACCGCGGGGTTCAACACAGCTCACCTTGCAGCTTCAGATTTCGCTGCCGCAGCTTGATGTTCCGCTTCTCGATCTTCTTGCGCAGGAGTTTCATCTGTAAGTGCGACATATTTGCAGAGCCGCGCTAGCAGGTTGTACTGAGCAGTGGCTGCACGTGCGCAGTTAGAACTCGGAAGCGTGTCGCGGGACCCAGAGGACCGCCGGGCGGAAATGCTTCCGGGCGGAAACGGTTCCCGGCGCGAGCTAGGGTCCCTTTGGAGACCGAGTTCCTCGCAGTGCCCCCTGGGGACGTGGAGGACGCATTGTGAACATGTTCCCCTTACAGTGGCATGCGGCCGGATAAAAGTAGTTTGAGTTTTCCAGAACGAGACTGAACAAAGACTGCCGATTGGAAGACAGAATTCCTCGTCACTCAAAATTCTGTTCCCTTCCCCTCACTGCTAGAGTGGTTCCAGTATCCGGTCAGAACACTTTTTTCTTTTTTTTTGATTTTTTTCAAGACAGGGTTTCTCTGTGTAGCCCTGGATGACCTGGGTCTTGTAGACCAGGCTGGCTTCAAACTCACAGAGATCCGCTTGCCTCTGCTTCCCGAGCACGCTTAAGTATTCAAAACTTCTTGCTTTGTTGGCGGGCATGATAGTGCACGCCTTTAATCTCAGTACTAGGGAGATAGAGAAAGTGATCTCTGTGAGTTCAAGACCAGCCTGGTTCACATGGCAAGGTCTAGGCCAGTCCCTCCCCCTAAAAACAAAAAAGAATCTTCTTTCTTAGGCCCTGTATTAGACAAATGTCTTTCCTCATAACATAATTCAGGGCTTTCTAAATTATTTATTTATTTAGTGCTAGTTTTGTGTTAGATGCGCGATTAAACTCCATAGATTAAAAGATTGGAATTTATTTATTTATTTATTTATTTATTTATTTATTTATTTATTTATTTTTACAGGACTTCCATCAAGGCAGAAACACAGTTATAGAACACACACTGACAGAAAAGTGCATGCACTACCTGAGAAAGATAGTTCAGAATGGACATTTGAGTGAAGTGTTTGTGTGTGTGTGTGTGTGTGTGTGTGTGTGTGCGCGCGCGCGCGCTAGACTGGAAATTGTATACAGATGGACTCTTCAGTGTTTCAGTGCTGAACCCAGGTCCTCGTAGGCAGCCACTACACCAACTGAGCTACAGCCTGGCTGCTAAAGGTGTAGAAGTATTTTAACTGGGGCTGGGGAGATAGCTCAGTTCAGTCTGGAAAGTGATTGCTTCGAAAGCACAAAGACCTGAGTTCCACCTACTCCCTATAGAAAGAAAGTCAGTTGTAATGGGGCTCAGTGGCCAGCATCCTGGTGAGACCAAGGCCCAGGAGAAATGGCCTTGAAGTGGATAGTGCCTGAAAAATGACATCTGTGATGGCAATTCTTGGTTGTCAACTTGGCCACATCTGGAATGAACTACAATACAGAAATGGAGGGCACTCCTGTGAGAGATTATTTTTGCTTGGTTTGAAGTGGCTGAATCCACTTCTAGTCCAGACCTTTGAGGTGGAAAGACACATGCCTGAAACTCAAAGACACACCTTTAATCTGGGCCACACCTTCTGCGGGAAGACTTTTGTTTTTTTTTTTTATTAATTTATAAAAGTTTCCACTTTCGCCCCTCCTCCCAATACCCTCCCATTCCCCCCACTCCCTCACCTCCTCCCTCTTTAGCCCTAAGAGCAGTCAGTGTTTCCTGCCCTGTGGGAAGTTCAAGTTCCTCCCTCCTCCCTCCAGGTCTAGGAAGGTGAGCATCCAAACTGACTAGGATCCCAAAAATCCAGAACATGCAGACGACACAAGACCCAGTGCCCTTATCAGTGGCTTCTCAGACAGTCCCCGTGCCAGCCACATACAGAGAATCCGGCCACAATCAGAGAATCTGGTTTGATCATGTTCTCGTTCAGTCCCAGTCTGACTGGCCTTGGTGAACTCTCATTAGATCAGTCCCCTTTGCCTGCTTGCCCTCGCCTTGCTAGCACATTCATTCCTTCACTGGCTTTGGAGTCTACTTCTTTGGGATTCTCACATATACTGAAGACCAGCCGAGACATTCAGCCCGCAGACTGAGCAACTACTGGAGTTTGGGATTTTCTGTTAACAGTCAGCTATTGCTGGATTAGCTGGACTGTAGCCTGTAAGCTGTTTCAATAAATCTCTATATATACATGAATATATATAATATACACATATTACATACACACATTTTTGTATACTTACATGTATATACATATATACATATACACATATATGCATATACACAAACATAGAGACAGAGATATTCATTCTGCAAGTTCAGTTACTCTACAGAACCCTGACTAGTACAACATCCAAGCACATCCTTTGATCACCACACAAATATGCACACACATACACCCTGGGGCATTTAATTTACACAGGCTGTGCCTTACTCATTCTGTTCTTTGAATTTTCTTCTGGGCTCCTTAAACCAAAAGCAGTGTTTGTAATGATTTTGTGGGAGAAGAACCTTGGCAGGTGAGAGCCCAGAGGGCTCATGTGGGCAAGAGACAAATACGCCATACAGACAGAACTTAAGTGGGGCGCTTTATTGAGATAATGGAAGTGGAGGAAGTAAAGGGAAAGAAACACACACACACACACACACACACACAACAGAGATTCAGAGAGAGAAAGGGGGAGAGGAAGGAGAGAGAAGTAGGCGGAGTTTCACCTTTTAAAGAGACAGGGTACTGTCTGCTCTGTATGCAGGCATGACTCAGGGTATGACACACTCCGTCAGGTCTTCAATGGCTGGACCAGGTTCGTCCGGATGCTAACAGTGTTTGTAACGTAGAAAGTAGATTCATATACTCTAAACAGAAGAGAAGGGCTTTGATTCATGGGGTAAAGAAATTGGTCTCTTTTACAAGCACCTTGGCGTTGCTAGAAATAATAATGCTAGGACATACCTGTACACCTGCTCTGATCTCCAAACGAGGGCTTTTTAAAAAAAATTTTGTTTGTTTGTTTATTGAGGATCAAACCCAGGTCCTTGGGTGTAATAAGCAAGTGCTTTACCATTGAGTCATATCCTCAGACCACATTAGGACTCTTGAAGTGAATTTCTATGAACTTTGACCTCAGCACTCTACAGTGTATAGGAGTTTGAAAGGGGCTGCATTACTGTAAATTAGCAGACCTTGCTGCCGTTTAACAGCTGATTGTCTGTAGGCAATCAAATGCTGTTGGCACAGTTTACTAAGGAGCTCACCTAAATTTAGATACATTCCCTCTCTCCCTCCCTCCCTCTCTCCCTCCCTCCCTCCCTTTCTCCCTCCCTCCCTCTCTCCGTGTGTGCACACGTGTATGTGTATATGCCTGTGCAGGGCATAAATCAATGCCCAGAGTCTTCTTTTTTTTTAAATTTTTTTCTTTTCTTTTTTAAAAATTATTTATTTATTTATTTATTTTTTCCATTAAAAATTTTACACCTCCTCCCCTCCTCCCATTCCCCTCCCGCTCCCCCACTCACCTCCTCCCTCCCCTTCCGTCCTTAAGAGAGGGCAGGGAACCCTGCCCTGTGGGAAGTCCAAGGCCCTCCCCCCTACATCCAGGCCCAGGAAGCTTTGCATCCAAATAGACTAGGATCCCAAAAAGCCAGTACATGCAATAGAAACAAATCCCATTGCCTTTATCAATGGCTTCTCAGTCAGCCCCCATGTCAGCCACATTCAGAGAGTTCGGTTTGATCGCGTGCTCATTCAGTCCCTGTCCAGCTGGATTTGGTGAGCTCCCATTAGATCAGGCATACTGTCTCAGTGGGTGGACCAACCCCTCGTGGTCCTGACTTCCTTGCTCATCTTCTCCTTCCTCCTGCCCTTCAGCTGGACCTTGGGAGCTCAGTCCATTGCCAAGCCTTTTTAATTTTTTAAAGATTTATTTATTTATTATGTATTCAGTGTTCTGCCTGTATGTATTCCTGCAGGCCAGAAGAGGGCACCAAATCTCATTACAGATGGTTGTGAGCGCACATGGTTGCTGGGAATTGAACAGGCAAAGCTCTTAACCACTGAGCCATCTCTCCAGCCCCTCGCCCAGAATCTTAAATAGTCAGTCTGTCTTAATCTTCGAGATAGGAGTCTCTCACTGAATAGGGAACCCACTGATTCATCTAGACTATCTGGCCAGCACTCTCCAGGAGTCTTACTTTTTCTCACATGGAGTATCACAATTGTATCGGGGGCTGGAGAGATGGCTCAGCGGTTAAGAGCATTGCCTGTTCAATTCCCAGCAACCACATGTGCTCACAACCCTCTGTAATGAGATTTGGTGCCCTCTTCTGGCCTATAGGCAGACACACAGACAGAATATTGTATACATAATAAATAAATGAATATTTTTTAAAAAAGATTATAGAGGTGCACCTCCAAGTGCATCTTTTACTCGGGTGATGGGGATTTAAGCTCAGGTCTCTGCTTGCACAGACAGCAGGTACGTTCCCAGGTGTGGTGGTATGAATAAAAATGGCCCCCATAGACCCATGGGGAGTATTCCTATTAGGAGGTGTGGCCTTGTTGAGTAGGTGTGTCACTGGGGGTGGACTTTGAGGTCTTAGATGCTCAAGTCATACCCAGTGTGACCCTCTCTTCCTGCTGCCTGCAGATCCGGATGTAGAACTCCCAGCTACTTCTCCAGCACCATGTCTGCCTGTGCTCCACTGTCCTCCCCGTGATGATAATGGACTAAACCTGTGAAACTGTAAGCCATCCCAATTAAATATTTTCCTTTATAAGAGTTGCCATGGTCATAGTGTCACTTCACAGCAATAGAAATCCTAACCAAGAATCAAGTACTTTGTCTTCTCAGCCTCTTAAAAATTACATTTTAATCACTGCCCATGGGAAGTCTGGACAGATAAATTCATGATTCAACTACAAATCCAAATGTAAATAATTTTAATTTCTTTGAAATCTTGATGTTGCCGATCTCATCTTTTACAGGGATACCTTGGGCACATTAAAATTAATTGTTGCCCAGTGGTGTACATCTTTACTCCCAGTCTCAGGAGGCAGAAGCAGGCAGATCTCTGTGAGTTGGAGGCCAGCCTACAGAGCTATTCTAGGACAGCCAGGGCTACACAGAGAAAACCTGTCTTGAAGAACAGAACAAAACACAAAACAAGACAAACCAAAATATTTGTTCTCTTTGGACTGTAC